CTAAAATGGCATAGATTTTATCCATACACCTCACATATATATTTGTAATATCTTTGGAATTTCTAAGGAAGTCAGGTTGGTAGCTAATCTGGAAATGAACATGAATCTTTTGTGGCTGAAGTTGACATGCAGCTTCCTTAACATGTGAGAAAGACTTTTTACATTATCCTCACTTGGAAATGTAGACTAAGAGTTCTGAGAATCAAAATCTAAATTATATCAGGCTGTTCATTGTTGCTGCCTGGCGTTGCAGAGCATTTTAGTGAGATAACCCATAAAGAAGCCACAAGCACAGCATTTGGCCTATGTTAGAATTCAATAAATGTTAACCTCCCCACTAAATTCCCTTTCTCTTAGTCAAACCCCTTTTTACCACAACTAGCTTATTATTTGACTAAACCATTGTATGTTTCCCCAGCTACCTGGAGGCTCTATTCTTTTTTTCTTTTTGATAAAGATTTTGATCATGCAAAGTCAGTTAATTTCAGTCTGTTTTTTCTTTATTTATCCCCCTGTATTTTGATATAATGATGATTTACTATACCTGTTAACGCAATATAAATCTTCAATTTTGTTATCCACCCCATCAGCAAACTAGCTTTTGTGAAAATTGAAGCTAAAAGATATTTGACAAATGTTCCATCCTCCTCAATAGTGAAAACCAGTCTGGAAATCATTTTTCAAGGAGCTTTTTCCAAAGGTTTAGAGTTCCTCCAAGCCTTTAAGAAGTTGAAAATGTTATTAAGCATTTTGATTTCTTTTCCTTTCATCTCCTGTTTAGAAATTAATGTCTTGAAAAATTGGCTTCAAATGTTAAGGTTTTTTTTTTTAAAGATATGGAATCTATTCATCTGTCTAATAAGACTGCAACATGTTAAAAATAATCGGTTCTTTGTTAGACATTTTGGCCAATCTTGGAAAGATTTTTGTCTTTGCTTTTAGACCTTCAGATGCCTTTTAGTTTCATTTTTAGCACTAGGAAAACCAAGCACTCTAATCATTTTCTAAAATGAGAATTTCAGCATGTATTCAATCTCTGATCTTTGTAAGGAAGCAAGATGAGGTTCCATTCCTGTGTTTCATAAAGGGAGATGATAGACAAATAGGTAATTTAAGTGATTGTGCACCAGCCCTTTGGGTTTCTGTTTTTTCCCATCTAGATTGTGTCTTCTTTTTACTGCAGAATGTATCAGTATCTGAAAAGGTCCTCTGGTTTATCTTCTTTGTGGGATCGTTGTTGCATACAGTTTTGTATAAAGAGGCAATTCAGAGACTGTCCCAATATGTTTGCATATGGACGTGCATATGGTCGATTTTAGCTTTAACTTCAAATTTCCTTGAATACGTAGGCTGTGTGTATTCCCATAATGGTAGTTGAGCAATTTCTTTGTGATGGTTCAATTTCTTTCTCTCTCTTCTGCATTTCCCCCTCCTTTTTCTTTATACAGTAGTAACCTTCCTAAAAAGGCCTATTAAAAAAGGAAAAAGCCCATAACAGCCATGCAAGCAGGCGCCAGAAAGTTTAGATAACAGTCCCATCACATTTGGCTGTTTGGCTAGAGCTGGTTGTAAATAGAATGGAATGTGGTGTTGTGAGTCCCTTACTCCAGTGCACAGCACTGCCCCAGGATGAGCCTCACCACCCATTTATATTTATTGATTTCCAGGATGTGCTGGCTGCTCTGGAACAACACAATTACAGCCTTCAATTGAGACATACAATCTACATGGAAGTGAATCAGGCAGTCTATTCTGTTTGCTGTAGTTTACCTGGTCAATTATTTAGACCTGATAGCTGTTGTCAAAGGAGTTGTGTTTTACTGAGTGTTTCAGTGGAGGCCCACCTCTGATTTTCAGAAGTGATTTTTAGAAGTGAGAGTTCTGCAAACATGTGGTTCCTCCACACTTCTTCCACTTAAACCTGTAAAAACAAATCATGGAAACCTTTGTCAATTCACTCAGCTGAACTACCTTGGCAAGGTCTTTCCCATGACTAAGCAACAAACCTGGCTTTCATTCTCCATTTTCTTAAAGAGCATCAGAGAGTAAGGATTACCCTTTGGCATCTTTGATGCAATGAAGGGTATAGGGTAAGGGTTAAAAATGATTAATTGATTGGTGATTGATTTTCCAACAAATATTCATTGAGACTGTTATGTTTCAAGTACCCTTAAAATACAGTAGTCAATAGGACAGATATGGATCCTGCTTTCATGAAACTTTCATTGTAGGGAGAGACAGACATGAAACAATGAATTAACTATTAATTATTTAATTACAATTGGGCATCAAACTCTAAGGAGGAATAGTGTACTATAAGAACAACTAAGGGCGCCTGGGTGGCTTAGTCGGTTAAGCATCTGACTTTCGCTTGGGTCATGATCTCACGGTTCGTGGGTTCGAGCCCTGCATCGGGCTCTGTGCTGACTGCCAGCTCAGAGTCTGGAGCCTGTTTCAGTCTGTGACTCCCTCTCTCTCTGACCCTCCCCTGCTCACGCTGTCTCTTCTCTCCTAGAAATTAAAAAAAAAAAAAAAAAAAAGAACAACTAATAAGAAGCGTGACCTCATTGCAAGTCTCAGAAAGGAAATGATTGTTAAGTGTAATTTTAATTTTTTTAATGTTTAGTTATTTTTTAGAGACAGAGAGAGACAGAGTGTGAGCAAGAGTGGGGCAGAAAGAGAGAGAGGGAGACACGGAATCCAAAGCAGGCTCCAGGCTCTGAGTTGTCAGCACAGAGTCCGATGCAGAGCTTGAACTCATGAACTGTGAGATCATGACCTGACCTGAAGTCAGACACTTCACTGACTGAGCCACCCAGGTGCCCTGAGTTCAGTGTGATTTTTAGACAGTCTGTGTATGTCAGAGAAGAGGAGAGAGAGACAGTGTGGGGAGGCTATTACAAATAGCAGGGGAACAGCTTGTGTGAAGGCCTTGGGGAAGGAAAGGAGCACAGTATATACTAGGGACTGAGCAGTTCAGTGTGGCTGGAAAATAAAGGATGAGTGGGAAGTAGGAGGTAAAACCCATGAGGAAGACAAGTCTAGACCATGCAGGGCCTCGTGGGTCCTATTAATGATTTAGGTCTTTCCTTAAAAGTTATGTGAGGCCATTGAACTGTTTTAGACAGTAACTGACATGATCAGATTCCTGTTCCCTTAGCAAAGATTATTTTGATTGAAGTGAAGGAATAGATTGGAGGAGAATAAATATAGACACAGGATCTGGGCTAAGAGACTGTTATGCTAGTCCAGAAAGAGATGCTGGCAGCTTGGTTTAGAAGAGATAGAATAAGAGAGAGAGAGAGACAGATGGGTATTTAGGAGGTAAAAATCAACAGGGCTTAATGAATGATTGGATGCACAGAGGAGACTAAAAGGAAAGAATGGAGGAAAACACTCAGGTTTTTATCCTGCATCCTGGCTAGATGGCATTGGTTGGAACTGGAGAGATGGGTTTGGGTAATGTTGGTCTAATTTGAAGTGCTCAGGGGACATCCAGCCTGAGATGTCAAATAGACAGTTGGCTATTTGAATCTGAAGCTCCGAGGAACTTCTCTGATGAAAACAGAAATATGAGCGTTGCATATGGTAAAAGAAGATGAGGAACGGATGATCAGAACACCTAGGAGACTATAGTCTGTAAATTGCTGTTATATTTCACGAGAGCTTACCGAGTTTTCACTCTTTGCCAGGCCCTCTGCTAAATACGGGGCATGTGAAAAGGAAAGACCTTCAGGGAATAACATAGAGTATCTCTTTGCCGTAGGCCCAGATTACTTTTTACATCATCCAAGACAGGATACTCCCAGTACTTCTGGAGATAACTCTTAGGCAAGCTGAAATCTATGCCTTAGTCCTGTGTATTTCCTAATCTTTGCTCCCATATAACTTAAGCCTTGCATCCTATAAATTCACTTCATTCCTGTTTGTTCTTAGTAGGCATATAGAAGAGTTGGTAAGCACATTCTTTACATTAATTCCTTATGTTCTTGAAAAACCTTCCTTTGGTTTTGAGAGACATCATCACCTTTGGCCTTGACTTCTTGAAACAACAGATAGAGGATTGGTTCTTACACGAAGAAGTGTTTTTTACTGTTTCATAAAAAAGGAGTCCATCCATGGGCTGTAAGATATTATTCCCATATTTTGTAGGTTATAAATTGCTGATGACTTTGAGATTATGATGATATTGACTCCACTTGTGAAAATTAGGCCACACCCTTCTAGTCTGTTCCTAAAATAAGATTCATTGCTAAAGTGAAATTTATAGCTTCTTTTATAGCTCTTATTTTTCAGAGACCCATGGCTTAAAATAACCTACATTTTAAGACTGTGCTTTTCATATTATTGTCTTTGGACCACCTGCATCAGAATCACTGGGGTGTGCTTATTAAAAATGGAGGTTGTTGAATCATATTTTCTAATTTTTTTAATATAGCCAAGATAAACCCCAATAATTTGCATTTTTAATAAGCACCCCAGGTAATTTTTATTTATACTAGAATTTAAGAATCGTTGTTTTAGGGAGGTCTAAATTTGTACATCTCATTATTAGAATCCTGAGTTAAATGAGAAATTAAACAGTGTTGCAAGCCAGGTCAGTTTCTTAACCAATTTTGAAGATTAATAATCAAGTCATAGGTGTTAAAATACTTAATAGGTATCTTTCAGCTGTCCAGGGATAAAAAGATGGCATTGCCCATATTTCTTTTGTGATGCTTAGAAGCTCACTTGAGAGAAGCACAGAGCTGGAGAGCAAACACAGAAGAGAGAGAGAGTAGGCGGTGTGGCAGAACGAGAAGTGCTGGAGAAATGGGCACTAAACCTTGGGTCACGTGTAGCCTCTCACTCAGTTTTAGTGTAGGTTTTGCTTTAACTGGCGTGTTCTGTGGGTTCTTGATACACACGATCATACATGTATGAATGTTTCTAGAGGTGCAACTCCCTTCCTATCTCCAGAACTGGCAAAAGTCTCTCCTTACTTCCCCCTCCTTCCCCAGGAAGAACGCCGCGTGATTTACGTTGGTAAAATCAGACCTGACACAACACGGACGGAACTGAGGGACCGTTTTGAAGTTTTTGGTGAAATTGAGGAGTGCACAGTAAATCTGCGGGATGATGGGTAAGAATCTTCAAGATTATTTCTTGTTTAGAAGCTGACATATGTAAAAAATTATGGCCGTAAGATTACTAGGATGGGAATGCTTTGACAGATGACATGTTGAGTTCAGAACCTTATTTATTTTCTTTTATCCCTATTTATTAATCTTTCTAGTTGAGATTTCCTGTCCCAGAAATAAGTATTTAGCTGCTTGACAGGACAATCACACTGATAAATGGATGCAGCGGTTCAGACACTGGCACCAGCGAAGTCTCCCAAAGTAAGGAAGGGTTACAGGCATATATGTTAATGCTTCCTCACCAGCTTTGATCCTCTCTTCTCTGTCCATTGCAGAGACAGCTATGGTTTCATTACCTACCGTTATACCTGTGATGCTTTTGCTGCTCTTGAAAATGGATACACTTTGCGCAGGTCGAATGAAACTGACTTCGAGCTGTACTTTTGTGGACGCAAGCAATTTTTCAAGTCTAACTATGCAGACCTAGGTATGGATTTTATTGTACGCAGAACGAGGAATCCATAATGTAAGGCTCCAAATGGAAGCAGATGTAAACCAAAGGCATATTGGGTTGGACCATCGTTTTATTTTGCTAGGAGGAATATTTGAATACAGATTTTATCGTATTTTTAATTTTTAACATATGGGACATTCGCAGAAACAAGGGGCGTAGGTTTTGGCAACAAAGGACAGACGTGAATTCTTTGTATTGTCTTCCCAAATGCTGAAAGTCTGCACTATTTTCCTATGTGTATGTTTGCAAGTGTTTATGTTGTGTGTGTGTGTGTGTGTATGTGTGTGTGTGTCTTTGTTGTGTAGGTTTGCAATGCGCTATTGCTTTCTGTGCCTGCCCTGATTCCTTTTGTATAAACCTTAGTGGTATCATCATTGTCTCATGGAACAGAATATGCAAAAGTTCAGTTCTTTTTTCCTTATTGTCCTACAAACTCTTAAAAATGTTAAGACATATTCTACAAATTACCCCTTGAGCGGAGAAAATATGCTAAATCACACTATACTTTCTTTAAAACAAAAGAAGAAAAAAAACTTGCTCTGTTTTTAGTGTTTCCAGATGCCAGGCACTGTGCTCCAGGCTCTGCAAACATTTTCCTATTTAATTACCAGAACAATCTAAGGAGGTGGCTATTGTTACCCTCATCTCCCTTTTACAGATAAGGAAACTGAAGCATTTCTAAATATTCATTTTTCCTGTTATAAAAGTTATACAGACTCAAGGGGTAAAATTTGGGAAACATAAAAAAGTCTTAAGAACAATAGTCCTATCACCTATCAGCATATCACCTAAAGGTCTGCTGTGGGCTTTGCAGTTCAGTGTTTTGTCTCAGAAAGTCTAGTATCTGGGGCACCTGGGTGACTCAGTTGGTTAAGTGTCAGACTTCAGCTCAGGTCATGGTCTCGCGGTTCGTGAGTTGGAGCCTCACATCGGGCTCTGTGCTAACAGCCTGCTCAAAGCCTGGAGTCTGTTTCAGATTCTGTGTCTCCCTCTCTCTCTCTCTGACCTTCCCCTGTTCATACTCTCTCTCTCTCTCTCAGAAATAAATAAAAACATTAAAAAAAATTTTTTTTAAAGAAAGTCTAGTTTCTTATAGTTGAGGTCACATCCTATAAATCTATAAAGTTTTAAATTCTACTTTTCTCAGCTAATATTATAGAAGTTCATTTTCCACTGTGATTCATGGGATTAAAAATAATTTATCAACTTATTTTAATGGTTGCATGGTATTGTGTTAGGTGAATACCATTATATTTAATCATTCCATTATAACTAAACATTTATTTAATTTTCAATGTTTTTGGCATTATTAATAATGCCAAAATGGACATCTTAATTTTCTTCCCAAGCTTAATTTGGTGACTTTGCATGTCATTCCCTGTTTAATGTGTGTATTGTAAGCCTTTAAATTCTTAGATGAAGGAATGAAGGAAAGAAAATGGCAAATGTCTTCTGCATATGATATAATTATTTAAATCAATTTGTAATAATAATCATAAAATTAACATATAAATCTATTCCGAAGCATTACTCTATATCTGTCTGCACTTGCTTTGGCTTGGTATAAAGAAAGAAATGAATACCAAATACAGGGATTTTTTTTCCTCCCTTCCACCAAAGTGATGTCTTCCTAAAGTAATGGATATAGGTGGTGTGCATTGTTCAGGGGGAATATGCTATAATTCACTTCACAAGCTAAATAGATAGTATGGAGCAGGGGAGAGGCAGCTGACTGTCAGAGAGATAGAGGCCTGGGGATGAAAATATAAAAGGTGGCAAGTCATTTGTTCAAATGTTGGCTGATAAAAACAGTCAAGAAGGATTGAAGTCTTAAGTTGATTTGACTTATTTTCTTCAGTGATGAAGGCCAGGGTGTTTCCAGTCTTTCAAAACATCTAGAGTTTAAAATAAGCTACCTAGAGGGGCCTTTAAATCACGATTCATCACTGGAGAGGGAGGATTGGATGGTATTTCCAAATTGAACCGGAGCCTCCCTGAAATATTTCTAAGAAGGATGTTCCCCTCTTGTTATCTCTCTGCCTAGCCAGCAGCAATAGAAACTTTGCCATCACGAAGCTGGCTCTGTACTCTCTGAAAAGTAGGTTTGATGTGTATTGTAGTAGCCTGGCTTTTTCCAATTCCCTCAAGTCCCCCGATTTCATGAAGGGCAGTCGATCGGAGCGTAGTCACAGTATAGTTGAAAGACCCCTGGCTTTGGAATCTTACAGACCTGGTTTTGAAACCTGACTTAAATTCTGACCTTGAACAAACAATTACACTCCCTCTGCCTCCAGTTTCTCATTTATAACCCACCCCATAATGCTGCTGCAAAGATTAATAAATCAATGTTTGTGAAGCTGTTAGCACAGTGTCTGGCATAAAGTAGGTGCTCAATAAATAGAAACTATGATTATGATTATAAATGATGTTAATGAGAAGTTAGAAATTTCAAGATATTTTATTTTTTTAATGTTTATTTTTAAAGGGGGGAGAGGGCAGAGAGGGAGAGAGGGAGACACAGAATCCGAACCAGGCCCCAGGCTGCAAACTGTCATCACAGAGCCTGAGGCAGGGCTCAAGCCCACGGACCATGAGATCATGACCTGAGGTGAAGTCAGACACTTAACCTACTGGGCCACCCAGGTGCCCCTGAAATTTCAAGTTATTTTAAAATGAAAGCATCAACATCAGGGGCCAGCTGCAGAACTGAACAACATTCACATGTGTCTTGTTTTTCTCCTCTGAAGATGTTCAGTGAAATGCTTCAGGGCATGACCAGTGAATTTGGTGAACATGAGATCATACTGGACACTTGGAGGGATCAAAGCTCATATGTGTGTCAAGAGTTAGTGAAAATGATGTGATATAGATTAATTTTACCAAGAGTAAAGTGACTTCTCATTTTAGATATATTTAATCAATTTTTTTCTGTTTTTATTTGACCCCCCCAAGTCAAGTTAGCTCACACATCTTATTCCTCTACTATTGAGGCCACCTAGTGATAACTACAATACTATTAGTGCAAAATATAATGATTCCACATTAATATCATAAGCCAGTTTTATAAGTGAGACTCAGAGTTTAAATGAACAGTCAATATTACTGAGGTAGAGGCAGGATTTAAGCCTGGGTTCCATGAATCTGTAACCTCTGAGTCTGTCTGTTTAGTGTCTGATAAACAGTTGAATCTTTCTGAAAGACCTCAATGAAAAATCTTGAAAAGATAGAAATTAAATTAGGACTATAGGAACAGAAGAGAAGGATGGGCCAGTATTAAGAATATAATAATTTGGGGCACCTGAGTGGCTCAGTTTAGTGAGGATCTGACTATAGCTCAAGTCCCGAACTCCCCGTTTGTGAGTTCAAGCCCTTACCAGGTTCTGTGCTGACAGCTCAGGACCTGGAGGCTGCTTTAGATTCTGTCACCCTCTCTTTCTGCTCCTCCCCTGTCCACATTTGTCTATCTCTCTCTCAAAAATAAATAAACATCAAAGAAAAGTTTAAAAAACATAATAATTTGTTTATCAGGAATTAGTTACAGCATAAAGCTCACAGTTGAAACACATAAGAAAAATAAAGTAAATAATATATCCATCACAAATTCTTTATTAACTCAAAAAATGTATTACATTATCAGCAACTTGAATGTATGCATAACTATATATATATATACACACTCTTGGCATTAATTAGTAAATCTTCCCAATACCCAACACAACTATTTTCAACTACATTTTTGTTTATTTTTAGTATACTGGCATTCAAGATTAATGCATTTATTCAAAAAATATTAATTTTAGTACCTACTTTGTGTCAACAGTTTTCTAGGTGGTGGGAATATAGCTGCCATGTGATATGTTTCTATTTATATGGTATCATTATTTAGAACAATATTTTTAATTTTTTTTGATGTTTTATTTATTTATTTCTGAGAGAGAGAGAGAGAGGAGAGACAGTGTGAGCAGGGGAAGGTCAGAGAGAGCAGGAGACACAGAATCTGAAACAGACTCCAGGCTCTGAGCTGGCTGTCAGCACAGAGCCTGACGCAGGGCTCGAACCCATGAACCATGAGATCATGACCTGAGCAGAAGTCAGACGCTTAACCGACTAAGCCACCCAGGCACCCCATTGAACAATATATTTTTTAAAGTAGAGTGGCTTTTGGGTTATTCCTGTACAACTTTCTTACGTCTTACTTGTGTTGCGATATCCTTCTTTAGTGGCAAGAAAGTGGTGGCATCGATGTTGTTGTCTCAGGAATTGTACGTAACCACATTCTGTATTCATGCAACGACAAAGATTTTGTGGATGCCCCTGGAGTGACATAGTATGTCCATATAAGGGATTACAAATATGTGAATGCAAGCCGTCCATTTCATAGTGAGGAAACTCTTGAGAACCACTGTTTTTGAAATATTTTTTTTGCTAATGAAAATGTGGAAGCACTGAAATTCTGGGTTTGATGTAGAGAAACCCAAAGTGAAGATATTTTAAGTCTTCTCAAAATTTCCTTCAGGGAAGATGTGTATGTGTGCTCTTGATGTTTCAGTGATGACCTTAATGCCCACAAATTCCAGCCATCAGGGAGTTCTTCTAACTTGATTCGTAATGCAAGTGGAATTCTGATTTCACGTTAATCTCAAGCAATGAGCAGGACTTTTGTGTGTGTTTCTACAAGAAAGATTTTAATTGGAACAACAGCTGGTCCTGAGGCTTTAGTGATACAAGCCAACTGCTCATTAGGCTCTGAAGAGAAGGGTGGGAGCCAGTGTGATTTAAGAATTGACTCCTGGAGGGGCATCTGGGTAGCTCAGTTGGTTAAGCATCCGACTTCGGCTCAGGTCATGATCTCACAGTTCGTGGGTTCAAGCCCCGCATTGGGCTCTGTGCTGACCACTAGCTCAGAGTCTGGAGCCTGCTTCCGATTCTGTATTTCCCTCTCTCTCTCTGACCCTCCCCTGCTCATGCTGTCTCTCTCTCTCAGAAATAAATAAAACATAAAAAAAAAAAAAAAAGAATTGACTCCTGGAGATTTTAGTGAAGAGTGATTGGCCATTTTTTGTCCTTTCTTTTATGTCTGAGGCCGATCGCAATTGCTGTTCTTACCTGGAAAAGCTTGATTGACAACAAGTCAGTAAATACAAGGGATGGTAAGAAGGAAAGGAAAAACAAAGTGAAGGAATTTCCTTGCCAGTAAACCTGAGATGGTTAAAGTAGCTTGAAGCGAGGAGGGAAAATCAGCCCAGTACTGGAGAGCTTGAGGGATTGCAACCTTTTTGACAGAACAGCTTCTGAGGTCAATGAGTATGCCTCCACATCATCTACTCTTATACTCTCTGCCACTTTGGACGTTTCTATTTTGTAACTTATTCTGGATAAAACATACAAATGTTCATATTTTTGTAGGATTGTTAATGTTTCCCAGAGAGGTCTTGTTTTCCTTTCAAATAAGTGCTTTCAAAACAATGAATTAATTTGCAGGAGCCTTCCTCTTATATTTCCAAGATATCTTTTCCTCATTTGCAAGACCAGCAAGAAATATCTGAATTTTTTTTTATAAATGTCAGTGAAGGAAAATCAGAAATATTTAGAATCAGAATTTCATTCCACATCTGTTGTTGCTGGAACATGACAGTTTCGTTAAGGGCTATGCGAAGTATGTGGACCTTTTCACAAAAGCTGCCTTGGACTAGTTTAGGAATTCAAAGAAGATCATGGTTTTATTTATATCTGTTTATTTTTCCTCTCATATTTGTGGGTAAAGAGGTTGACTTTGCCTTCTCTGGACATGAAGTGTTTGCCTAAACCTTCTCATTTGGGTATAATGCCACTATTGCTGGGGTCCCCTAGTACTAGAATAGATAAATGGATCATATGTCCCTCCCGCCTGAAAGGGAAGGAGCCAGGAAGCAAATGGGTGAAATTCTGGTAATTCTCCCTCCCGCCCATTCACCTGGCTATTATGCTCCATGAAATCCATCCCATTGAAATAGGAAAATTAATTCCAGCTTCTACTCTTACCTGTCCACTTATGTTGTTGAGGAACCTTGGGTAAGTCCTTTAACATGCCAGGATGTGGTTATTTTTAAAGTGTATTGATTGAATATGTTTCTATTGAATAGAAATATTAAAGTTTCTTCTGATTACCTCCTAGGATTGTTTAAGACTAAAATGAGTCAATAAATGGGTGTTTTAAATGCTTACCACTCTTTACTCTCTGCAAATTGGTGTATTTTAAATTCCTATTTTTATGTATTATATATAATTATATATACATTTGTAAATATATTGGTATGTTATTCATAAATTATTATATTTAAATGTGTATATATATATATATGTACCAAAAGTATGCCAGTAAAATATTGGGGCTATATAGCCTCCGCAAATATATATTTATATAACTTTATATCAATATTGATATTAGTATTGATATTAATATCAATATATGTCTATCAATTGTATTCATATCAGTTAATATCAATATTGATATTTATATCAATATATATACCGATAAAAATTGGGTACTTTTTTAAAAGTATATTAATCGGACAAGTTGTTATTGAATCAAGTAATCTTGAATTGGATGATTGAGTTAATGACAGTCGGCAAAGAGTGTGTCTAACCTAGCCTGGGTTTCTTGCAGATTCAAACTCAGATGACTTTGACCCTGCTTCCACCAAGAGCAAGTATGACTCTCTGGATTTCGATAGTTTACTGAAAGAAGCTCAGAGAAGCTTGCGCAGGTAACATGTTCCCTGGCTGAAGATGACAGAGGGACGGTGAATACCTCACGGGACAGCGCGTCCTTCCCTAACTGACTATTGCAAGTCATACTTAGGAATTTCTCCTACTTTACACTCTGTATAAAAACAAAACAAAACAACAACAATACAACAAGAACAACAACAATGGTTTACATGAACACAGCTGCTGAAGAGGCAAGAGACAGAATGGATATCCAGTAAGCACGTTTATTCATGGGTGTCAGCTTTGCTTTCCCTGGAGTCTCTTGGTGATGGAGTGTGTGTGTGTGCGCTCGCGTGTGTGTACGTGTGCGAGTGTGCCGGTGCGGGTGCGGGTGTGCGCCCATGCGCGCACCTGGTTTGGGGGAAGTGTGTACGTACAGGCGGGGACTGGGGGCACCCGACCAGAGTGCGCCTGGGCAAATCACTTCAAATGGCAGCAGTTCCATGAAGACGCACTTAAAACCTAGAACTTCAAAATGTTCATATTCTAGTCAAAAAGAAAAAAAAATGCATAAATTCAAAAGGAAAGAAAACTAACCAACCAACCACAAACCACCCTAAAATGACAGCCACTGATGTCTGGGCATCAACCTCCGTACTCTTGTTTTTTAAGAAAGTGCAAAATCAACCTGAAGCAAGCTTTCTCTCATAACGTAACGGTTATATGACAATCCCGGAGAAACCACAGTTTCTGTAAAACTAATATCCTTTCTCTCTCTCTCTCTTTCTCTCTCTCCCTCCCTCCATCCATCTATTTCTTCCTCCCTCTCTGCCCCCCTCTCCGCACCTTCTCTCCTCTCTCCCTCTTCCATTCTCCCTCTCTTTCTTTCTGTTTCTTCTTTTTTTCCCTTTGGCCATGGAGTCTGGGTGGGAGAGGTTACTGCAGACGCGGGAATGCTAAACTTTCCTAACATTTTGAAGTTTCTGTAGTTCATCCTCTGTCCTGACACCCATGTAAATGTCCCCAATGTTGATCTTCCACTGCAAATTTCAAAAGCCTTGTAAATGGTCAAGCGTGCAGCTTGTTCAGTGGTTCTTTCTGAGGAGTGGGCACGGTGTTACATTACTAATGAGAGTTGGGTAGAACTCTCTGGTATGTGTTCAGATAGTGTAATTGCTACATTCTCTGATGTAGTGAAGTATTTACAGATGTTAAATGGAGTATTTTTATTTTGTGTACATACTATACAACGATGTTCTTTTTTGTTACAGCTATGCACTGTAAATGCAGCCTTCTTTTCAAAACTGCTAAATTTTTCTTAATCAAGAATATTCAAATGTAATTATGAGGTGATACAATTATTGTACACTAACATATTTAGAAGCTGAACTTACTGCTTATATATATTTGATTGTAAAAACAAAAAAGACAGTGTGTGTGTCCGTCAAGTGCAACAACAAAATGATGCTTTACGCACATCCATCCCTTCTTATGTGAGCTTCAATCTGAGCATCTTGTCAAGAAATATCCTAGACTCCCTAAAGGTATTAACCACTTATGCGATATTTTTCCACATTTTCTTGTTGCTTGTTTTTCTTTGAAGTTTTATACACTGGATTTGTTAGGGGAATGAAATTTTCTCATCTAAAATTTTTCTAGGAGATATCATGATTTTATGTAAAGTCTCTCAATGGGTAACCATTAAGAAATGTTTTTATTTTCTCTATCAACAGTAGTTTTGAAACTAGAGGTCAGAAATCTTTTTAAAATGCTGTTTCGTTTTAATTTTTGTGATTTTAATTTGATACAAAATGCTGAGGTAATAATTACAGTATGATTTTTACAACAATTAATGTGTGTCTGAAGACTATTCTTGAAGCCAGTATCTCTTTCCCTTGGCAGAGTATGATGATGGTATTTATCTGTATTTTTTACAGTTATGCATCCTGTATAAATACTGATATTTCATTCCTTTGTTTACTAAAGAGACATATTTATCAGTTGCAGATAGCCTATTTATTATAAATTATGAGGGGATGAAAATAATAAAGCCAGTGGAAATTTTCTACCTAGGATGCATGGCAACTGTCAGGTTGCAGTTGAAATGTTTCATTTGGAAAATTCAGCTTTTGCAGAAGCGGTTTCTACTTGCACTAGCTTGGCCTCTGACGTGACCATGATGTTGTTCTTGATGACATTGCTTCTGCTAAATTCAATAAAAACTTCAGAAAAACCTCCATTTTGAGCATCAGGATTTCATCTGAGTGCGGAGCCCCTGGAAAGGAAGTCAGGAAAGTTTGGAGTGTGTATTCAAGTTTCTAAATTGAGATTCGATTACATTTTGGCCGACATGACTTTTCTGGAAGATGTGATACACCTACTACTTAATCGTTCTTTTTCTTTCTCTCGCCCAACACAATCTTATAAAATGGATTTCACCCCCAGGCCAATGCAGCTAATTTTGATAGCTGTATTCATTTATCACCAGCATATTGTGTTCTGAGTGAATCCACTGTCTGTCCTGTCGGATGCTTGCTTGATTTTTTGGCTTCTTATTTCTAAGTAGATAGAAAGCAATAAAAAAAAATATGAAATAAAAGAACTTGTTCACAGGTTCTGCGTTACGGCAGTAACACATCTTTAATCCGCCTAATTCTTGTTGTTCTGTAGGTTAAATGCAGATATTTTAACTCTGTGTGAACGCCAAACTAAAGTTTACAGTCTTTCTTTTGGAATTTTGAGTATCTTCTGTTGTAGAATAATAATAATAAAAAAGACTATTAAAAGCAATAAATTATTTTTAAGAAATCAATATTTAGTAAATCATATTATGTGTTCAAGGACCAGATGCGTTCTCTATTTTGCCTTTAAATTTTTGTGATCCAATTTTAAATACATTCTCCTTTTTGCCCTGGATTGTTGACATGAGTAAAATACTTGGTTTCTTTTCTTACTTTTCAAAAAGACAACACTACAGATTTCATGTTGAGGATTAATTTATCCCCACTCTGGCCTGACAAATATTGTTAACATGAAGATAGTTTTCCTCCATGGACTTCAAATTGCATCTAAAATTAGTGCAAAGAGAGAATCACTCAACCATCTGAGTAGAGCTTTTTGTATCTTATGCAGACCCTGTGGGTAGCCCATCAAAACATCAACTGTGTTCCTTTATTTTTATTTGTAATTTTTTTGGAGAGAATCTTTCCAATGAACACATGCACACCATCATCACTGGAGGCAAATTTCAGCATAGATCTGTAGGATTTTTAGATGACTGCGGGCCATTGGCTTCTTGCTGTGGTAAGTACCACATCTACAATTTTGGGAACCGAACCAGTGCTTTAGAAATGTGGGGTTTTTTTTTTCCTTTTTTAAAGAGATGTAGCAGAATAATTCTTCCAGTGCAACAAAATCAATTTTTGCTAAACGACTCCGAGAACAATGCTATTGGGCTGTCAACATTCAAAGCAGCAGAGAGGGAACTTTGCACTATTGGGGTATGATGGTTGGATCAGTTGAAAAAAGGAAACCTTTTCATGCCTTTAGATGTGAGCTTACAGTAGGTAATGATTATGTGTCCTTTTTCGATGGCTGTAACGAGAACTTCAATCACTGTAGTCTAAGACCTGATCTATAGATGACCTAGAATAGCCATGTAATATAATGTGATGATTCTAAATTTGTACCTATGTGACAGACATTTTCAATAATGTGAACTGCTGATTTGATGGAGCTACTTTAAGATTTGTAGGTGAAAGTGTAACACTGTTGGTTGAACTATGCTGAAGAGGGTAAGTGAGCGATTAGTTCAGCCCTTGCCGGGCTTTTTTTTTTTTTTTTTTCTTTTTCCTCCACCTGCCAATTCTACATGTATTGTTGTGGTTTTATTCATTGTATGAAAATTCCTGTGATTTTTTTTAAATGTGCAGTACACATCAGCCTCACTGAGCTAATAAAGGGAAACGAATGTTTCAAATCTACTTTTGCTTTTCTTATTTATTGTAACCAACCCCCTGGCATGTTTCTCAGATCAGTACACATTACTCGTTATTATTATTCTATTTTGTCTCTGGATCGCCCTCCCTTTCTCCCCGCTTTTCCATGTTCATGGATGGATTTCAGTGGTAAGGTAACGTAGATCTTCTGTATTTTACCTTCTCTTCTTTCAAATGGCAAAGGCAGAAGTGCTTTCTATAATGAGAAGTGACGTGAGACTTTATGAAATGGATTAACTCTGTTTTTGTACAGAAAGTGTGTATTCCTGAGTACAAGCCATTGCCCCTAGTGAGAAACCTGTTGACTATTCAGCTTAGGAAGCAATTCCGTGGATGGACTGAACACGTTTCGAAGACTTGTAACAGGATGCAGCCCCCATCACATGTAAGTCATCAGATTAAATATGGGGCGAGCTGATAGCCGCTGACACAGCTTGCCATCCAGCTCTCTGTCCACTGTGCCTTGCAGGTGACTGGTGGTCCTGATGACAGAGATGACAGAGGGTGCACCTTATTAGATCTCTGCCCTCTCCTGATTTCAGATGGTCATCCCCGGTCCCAGCCACCTGCATTGCAAGACCCACCATAAACATGGGATTGGGGAAAGATGGCGAAATACATCCCAGCCCTCACACCCTATCCCCTAGAGCAAAAAAGTGTTAGTAATTACTGGAAATCTGATGGAACAAGCAGTAAGTAGTACACTGAAATGTGCTGGATAGCAGAAGAGGCACTGCCCACTGTTCTATTTCTATTTTATACTACTCTAAGATTGGCCAGTTATTTTAGCAAAATAGAAAATAAAAATTGCCATTATCTTACGCAAATATCACCCTCATTGACGATTGTGGGTACGAAACACTTCCGGAGATTTGCTGGACAACCCTCAGATTCTGACCTGTCTCCGTTAATGATTAAATTGTATATGACATTTTCAATCTTCTGGTTGGACCCAGCAAGGACATTAGAATAATGCAAGTATTTCTCTCAAAGGGTTTAAAGGTTAACTTTTTACCCTTCCAAACCTTTGGAGAGTAAAGAGGAGATTTGAAGAAGCAGCAGCAGTTGCCGCGAGTCTGATATGAGGATATTCTGATTAAAAATAAAGATTTATTTTTCATGTTGTCCTCAAAACATTAAACCACTCCCATCCTTGATGATACTAATGGCAAAACAATTATTGAAACCAAAATTAGGCCGATAAAAAGAAATGAACACTGAATATGAATAGTTTACTTAAAAGGAGCTTGCCTCAATGCAAAAGTCCTCTAAACTAAATCTGCCTAAACTGTACAATGTGATATTCAAAATTCTTTTTCAGCACTGCTGGTTTTCTCTCCATTGCAGGATTATTTAGCTAATCATTGGATATAATTTACAGCCCTAACAACATTATTATACTCATTTGACACTACTGTTATGAGCTACACAGTTGTAACTCAGCATTAATTATAGAATATTTTAACTAAAGCATACTTTTTGCAATATTTACTTTGTATTAATCTTATATTTTGCAATTCTTGTTGCCATTCCTTGTTTTCAAACACATTATACACCATTATAAATCAATCTTCGTACTTTATCAAACAGCAGAGAGTAATAAAGAAGGTCACAACTCGTAGAGGAGTTCCTTGGAGGTTTGTAACATCATGATTTAAATCTCAGAAAGATTTAATCAAAAGCTGAATTAATCCCTGGGGGAAAAGATGCTGTATAGATTCTATTGATGGGCACAAAGCAGCCTATTTCTTTTCATTGGTCTCTGTTAATACGTTGGGGAAAAGACACATAGTTTTTCTGCGAGAAAGGAAACAAGGTTTCTTGATGGGGGAAGGATAA